CTTGTCATCTGCACTTGTTTCACACCTTGACCCTGCTTGTCATCTGCACTTGTTTCACACCTTAAATTGTGCTAAATTAAACTAAGCTAGGCAAAGACTGTGTCTTTCTGGGAAGTGCCCATTGTATTTTGGGGTACCACAAAATAGTAAACTTGGGCAAAGGAGGATTGGCATGTGAGGGGTGCCCTGGTTTGGAGGGAAGTGCTCTGGGTGTGTGTTAGGAGAAAATATGGTTTTTGCACATGTGGAGGGGTATTGCAGGGTTGAAGTGGGATTGGGGGATGCGGTGTGTGTGGGGGGGAGTGTTGGGCTGAAGTGGGATGGGATTGGGGGATGGTGTGTGTGGGGGGGGCGTTGGGCTGCAGTGGAATGGGATTGGGGGACGGTGTGTGTGGTCGGGGTGTTGGGTTGCAATGGGATGGGATTGGGGGACAGTGTGTAGGGGGGTTGTTGGGTTGCAGTGTGATGGGATTGGGGGATGGTGTGTGTGTGTGTGTGGTGCGGGTGTTGGGGTGCAGTGTGATGGGATTGGGGGACAGTGTGTGTGGGGGGTTGTTGGGTTGCAGTGGATGGGATTGGCGGATGCAGTGTATGTGTTGGGAGGGATTAGTTTGGCAGGTGTACCGGGAGCAGGGTTGTTATCACTGCCCCTGTCTCTGCAGCAGGCGGCTCCACTCCAGCCCTGAGCACGACCGGTGCTGCCGGTCAGGGGCCCGGGCTAGACAGGGAGGGGAGAGAGGAAGGCGGGCGGGGCGACCTCTGCTCCCGAAGCCGCTGATTGGCGCCGCGCCGTGGCCTGAGGCAGCCGGCAGGGTTGGGCGGTGCTAGCGTAGCGTCCTCTCCTCTCTCGCCCGCAGCAGGGAGTAGCCACCTCGGTGTCAGCAGCAGCGGCGCGGCCCCTTGTGAGTCCCTGGCAGCCCGGTGCGCTCCGCCGCAGCCTCCTCTCAGGTCAGTGCGGCCGCTGCCCTGCTCCACCGGCACATCTGCCCCGGCGTGCCCCCCATGCCGCCTGCTGCTCCCCGGCAGCGTGCGGGCACCGCTCAGCCTGGCCGGGGCGGACCTTTCCCCCGCCCCGGCAGCACGGCCTGGGCGGTGACAAGAGACTTGGCGGGTGCCAGGGCGCCGTGAGGCCTGGGGCTGCCCTGGAGCTCATTCACCCGAGGGAACCAGCCCCGGCCCCAGCCCCGTCCCCTGCTATTCTTTTAATGCCTAGCTCTAGCTGTGCCCTCGCTTCCCTAGCGCAGGGGCGCCTGATATGACTTCCTGTTTCTCTGTGCTGTGTAGTAGGATTGTTGTTTAGATGTTTGTACCGCACCTAGCACGCTGGGGGCCTGAACTATGTCCGATCCTCGACATCAAGTGCTACCCCAGTGCGAATAATAAATTAATACTAATAGCTGATAGCATGCTGCCTCTTTGAGCACAGCTGTGTGACTTTCCCCTCCTCTCTAAAGTACTTAAATATCCCCCCCTTATTGTAGGAATTTATCCCCATTTTATAGATGGGGGGGGGGAGGGGGGACAGGCACAGCAAGGAGAAGTGAGTGGCCCAGTGTCACACAGGAAGTCTGTGGTGGAGCAGGAACTTGAATCCAGATCTCCCAAGCCCTAGGTTACTACCGGAGCCATTTAGCTGCCCTTGTGATCCTTTAGAGATACCACGAATATTGCTAAATCTCAAAAAGAACAGGAGTACTTGTGGCACCTTAGAGACTAACAAATTTATTAGATGCATCCGAAGAAGTGGGCTGTAGTCCACGAAAGCTTATGCTCTAATAAATTTGTTAGTCTCTAAGGTGCCACAAATACTCCTGTTCTTCTTTTTGCGGATACAGACTAACATGGCTGCTACTCTGAGACTCTTAAATGTGTTGTAGTGAATTCTGTCTTGATTCTTGTATGTAGTATTGCTGTAGCTGCGTAGGTCCTAGGAGATTAGAAAGACAAGGTAGGTAATTTTATTGCACCAGCTTCTGTTGGTGAGAGAGAGAAGCTTTTGAGTTTACACAGAGCTCTTTTTCTGGGAAGAGTGTGTCAGCTAAAGGGAACAAACTGTTTAGCATGAGTAGTTAACACACATTTCATGGGACCATTCATCTTGAAATGTGTTAACTACTTATGCTAAACAGTCTTTCACTTGTATTTAGTGGTGACACTCTAAATTTCCCAGACCAGAAGAATAATTCTGAGAAGCTTGAAAGTTTGGGTACGTCTATACTTACCTCCGGGTCCGGCGGTAAGCAATCGATCTTCTGGGATCGATCCCAGAAGTGCTCGCCGTCAACGCCGGTACCCCTGCTCCGCGAGAGGAGTACGCGGAGTCGACGGGGGAGCCTGCCTGCTGTGTGTGGACCCGCAGTAAGTTCAAACTAAGATACTTCGACTTCAGCTACGTTATTCACGTAGCTGAAGTTGCGTATCTTAATTCGAAGTGGGGGGTTAGTGTGGACCAGCCCTTTGTCTCTCCCCAGCAGAAGTTGGTCCAATAAAAGATATTACCTCCGTCACCTTGATTCCTTCTTGTCAATGAAGTTATTGTTGTGTCTAGCGACACCATCAGAGGACCCAACCACATCAGCCACACCATCAAGGGCTCATTCACCTGCACGTCTACTAATGTTAGATATGCCATGTGCCAGCAATGCCCCTCTGTCATGTACATTGGCCAAACCGGACAGTCCCTACGTAAAAGAATAAATGGACACAAATTGGACATCAGGAATAGTAACATACAAAAGCCAGTAGGAGAACACTTCAATCTCCCTGGACATTCTATAACAGATTTAAAAGTAGCTATACTTGAACAAAAAACCTTCAGAAACAGACTTTAAAGAGAAATAGCAGAACTAAAATTCATTTGCAAATTTAAAACCATTAATTTGGGCTTGAATAGGGACTGGGAGTGGCTGGCTCATTACAGAAGCAGCTTTGCCACTTCTTGAATTGATACCTCCTCATCTATTATTGGGAGTGGACTACATCCATCCTGATTGAATTGGCCCTGTCAGCATTGGCTCTCCACTTGTGAGGTAACTCCCTTCTATTCATGTGTCATATAATGCCTGCATCTGTAATTTTCACTCCATGCATCTGAAGAAGTGGGTTTTTTACCCACGAAAGCTTTTGCCCAAAAAAATCTGTTAGTCTTTAAGGTGCCACCGGACTTGTTATTGTGGTGGGAGGCACTTAGGCTGTTGCCTTCTTCTCACAAGGTTTTTGTGTGTTATATGCTGCCCATGGGAAAAATAACATGGGTCCGTTGGGATAGGAAAAATAAAGTTTATAAACTATTAACGGCCACCATTCTTTTTTTAGTAATAAAAATATCTGGTCACATCAGTGGCTCCTGAGCCTTTTGGTCCTTTACCTCCTCTGAGCAGTGCTTATGAGGTGGAAAGGGAGGTTAGAAACAGTGGCAGGAGCTGCTATTTCCTTGTTAAAGACATTCCTTGAGTACATTGGATGTTGTGAGATGGCTAAGTCAGGGCTGAATAGAACTGTAGGTGAATAGCATTGTCAATATTAATCATGTGAGAGGGTTACACTTTTTGGGCAGTTTGCACAAGAAAACTGTAGTGATTTTCTTAGTTATTTTTTTAAGAGCAAATCCAGGGAAGCACATGCACAGCTTAATACAGCTGGCCCAGCTTTCGCCATTCTTTGTTTAAAATTGATGTGCTGTTATAGTGTTTTTGTTTCTGGTCCAGTACATCACCATTTTAAAAAAATGTTGATTTTTGGAAGGGAAGAATATTTGATTTATTTGTAATAATCCACTGGAAATCTTTATGTAAAGAAATAACGCTGCAGAAAAGTTTCTCAATTATAGTAGACAAAGTGACTCTTTGTATATTACTCCTACCCCCCTTGTCTCCCCCTCTATTTATTTCTTCTGTAGAAGAAGCCATGCAACTTAACCTCAGGGTCTCACTTTTTTTTCTTTCGCAGCATAAATCTTTTTTTTCTTATGCAGTGTAGTTTTTACAAAGCCTTATTTTCTTACACAAATAAACAAAGAAGTGTATTTCTACAGAATGAAGATGTGGCTCTTTATAATTGTGGCATGTTTGATCCAAGGAATTGTAAGTTCAGAAACATTTGTCAGAAGAAGAAGAAATGTGGATCCTGAAACATCTATGAATATTGTAAGTTATGTATTGTAAAATTCCATTCAGTAGCTGCCATTTAAAAAAATTGATGTTTGTCATCTGTCATATGTTTACTATATACAGGGAATAACTAGTTATCTCAGATATTGTAGTATAATTACTGTGGGGAAAATGCTGACTTTTTAAAAATGATGATTACTTTAACTGTGGAAGGATGTTTTGCCTATTAAACTTTAATTAATAATGCTCTCATTGTAGATCCAGATTAAGGAACAGAGGGAAATTGCCTAACCTAGTTCTTTAAATTGCCTAAACCTGTTTACATGCCTGACAGTAAGCAGGAGTCTTGTCAGTGATATTCTGTTTCCATCTTCCTACTTGCTTGCAAATTGAAAAAAAGCTGTGGGTTGATTGAGGGTATGGGAGTGTGTGTGAGAAAGATGTAGAGCAGGGGTAGGCAACCTATGGCACGTGTGCCAAAGGCAGCGCACAAGCTGATTTTCAGTGGCACTCACACTGCCCGGGTCCTGGCATCAGTTTGGGGGGCTCTGCATTTTAATTTAACGTTAAATGAAGCTTCTTAAACATTTTAAAAACCTTATTTACTTTACATACAACAATAGTTTAGTTATATATTATAGACTTATAGAAAGAGACCTTCTAAAAATGTTAAAATGTACTGGCATGCGAAACCTTAAATTAGAGTGAATAAATAAAGACTTGGCACACCACTTCTGAAAGGTTGCTGATCCCTGATGTAGAGGAAGTAACATATATAAATTAAAATATATATCTCTGGCCTATATGCTGTCTCATGTCTTGTATGAAGGGGTAAATAACACTCTCACTTTCTACACATCAGTCATGATTTTATAGACTTCTATCATATTTCCCCCTTAGTCATCTCTTTTCCAAGATGAACAGTACCAACCTTTTAAATCTCTCCTCAAATGGAAGCTGTTCCCCACCGATAATAATTTTTGTTTCCCTTCTATGTACCTTTTCCAATTCTAATATTTTTTTCTTGAGATGGGGTGACCAGAACTGCAAACAGTATTCAAGGTGTGGGCATACCATGGATTTATATAGTGGCATTATGATAGTTTTTTGTCTTCTTATCTTTCCCTTTCCTAATGGTTCCTAACATTCTGTTATCTTTTTTGACTGCTGCTGCACATTAAGCAGTTGTTTTCAGAGAACTATCCACAATGACTCCAAGATCTTTCTTGAGTGGTAACAGCTAATTTTAGACCCCATCATTTTGTATGTATAGTTGGGATAAAGTTTTCTAATGTGCATTACTTTGCATTTATCAACATTGAATTTCATCTGCCATTTTGTTGCCCAGTTACCCAGTTTTGTGGGATCATCTTGTAACTCTTGGTAGTTAGGTCTAAAGCTGACTATCTTGAGTAATTTTGTATCATCTGTAAACTTTGCAACCCCACTGTTTATGCCTTTTTCCAGATCATTCTCTGTGGTCCTGCTTCCACTCTAGTTAAAACTGCTAGTAGGAACTGTACTTATTAAAACCACTTGTTGCTAGTAAGGTTCTAGTAAGTTTTTCCTGACAATTGCTTTGCTCCCCCTTTTGGTGTTCACTCTTGTCGCTTTTCCTTCTTTCTGTCATACTAACCAAGTCTTTACCCTCACTGGGTAAGGACTTGCTGTTAATTACTTGTGATCTTATCGGCACCTCATTTTCCCCACCCTCTTTGTTATCTTCAGTTGTTGCATCACATCTGAAACTAGCTTATAAACTTTTTGGGGAAGAGAGAATTTGCCTTTTCCATACGACACCTAGCATATTTTTGAGCACTGTCTTTTAAAGGTAACTAGAGTTATTGCCAATAGGATCATGCAATTGTACCGGTTAGGCATTTACACATCTTCTAAATGATTCTGTTAAATGAGTCTTTTTTTTTTTTTTTTGGTTAAGGTTTGTGAACTAACTCACTTGCAGGTGATGGAACAGAAGTGAGTTTTTAGAAGAGATGGTGTTTAGTAGTCCTATTTTATAGTATTAGTGTCCGACATTAAAAGCCATAACCCAAGCATATGAACAGTGTGCAAAACTTTCCTGTTCTTCCTGTGATGGTTAAGTCATAATATAAATGACTTTATTGAAGCCACTGTTATACAACATTTTGTTTCAAACCTGCTGTGTTGTGGGTCATTTAGATGTTGTATTTAAGTGTGATAGTGTTCCATGAGTGATAAATGGGAATAAGGATCATGCCTCTAATATTTGAAATGTTTTAAAAATCTTGCCCTTTAGAAGAGAGATGCATCCCCTCATCTACCACTGATAGCATAATTTTTGGTGACATCGCTTGTCTATAATTGAGAGATGTTTGTTGTTTCAGTGAGCATTGTCTGTCCTTCTTTCTACCACTTCAGTCTTTCCCTTCTTTATCCCGTTGTCCCCGATCTTCTTTCCCCTGCCCCCTTTTCCAACACTCTTGTCTCCCCTGGTTAGTGGTAAACTGGATGACCTATGTGTCTTCTCTATAGTGGAGACAGAGACTACCAGCTTTAGCCTGGGATATGCACTAGAACTTGGATCTCTCTCTCTGTAGGGGTTGGACATTGAGACAGATAAGAGATATTTCAAAGGCACCAAGAATTGTTAGGTTCCCAACTCCTATTGAAAATCAATGGGAGTTGGGTGCCTAATTCTCATTGGTGACTGAAACACGTGCGGGACTGAACGCATCATCACCTAGTAACAAACCTTTCCCTGATGGTCTCTCTCTACCACCTACCAGACATAGCCACAGCAATGGAGACATCACACTTCTATATTGTTGTCTGTGGAAAGACCACCAAGCATTTTACAGACATTAATGAATTAAAAATGTCAACAGTTTCAATCAAAAGCTTTTGTTTTCTTTTTGCAGAGTGAAATTGTTACCTACAGAGGCTACCCCAGTGAGGAGCATGAAGTGGTGACTGAAGATGGATATATCCTTAGCATTAACAGAATTCCTCATGGAAAGAAAAGCCATGGGACGAAGAAGGGTAAGATTTACTTCTGCCTGAAGAAAGAGAAGTCTTGAAAAAGATCACGTTGATTTAGAGAGATCTAACTCTTGTAATAAACCTGACCAGGATAAAATGTTGGTAACCTGTGTGGTTTACAATTACTTATAAAGGAAAATAACAGTGCAGACTATGTTAGAGTAGGTAGATCATTGAATTTTGGGAGGAAATCCCTCCCCCCCCCCAATTTGTAAGTAGTTTGTATTTTGTAGGATCTAAAACGGACACTTTTTTTTGTGTTGAAATTTTACTTACTGAAAAAACTCATTTTATGATAAATGAGAAATGGTAATTTTTTTAAAGTAAGAATGTGCTAAAGTGTGTTTTGTTGCAAAATTTTAATTTTTTAAACTTGTTTTGTTTTAAAAACTTTAACTAACACTAAAGGTAGGGGCAGGTCTTGTTCCTCTTCTGTTGAAAAACAAACCAGAAAGACACTTCCCCTCCCCCAAAACAAAACAAACAAAAATCCCAATGCTCTTCTGATTTCTGCATGGAAATAGGAATTAGACTAAGCTGATTTTAGATTCTAGCACGCTGTTCTCCTTGTCTTTATAGTAAACTATAAAGCAAAGTAATAATTACTATAGCACCATATTGTACATAGCTATTTATAGTATGTAAAATATTGTAATAATAATAAAAAAATCTTGTTTCTAAAGAAATGGGTGCAGTACAGCTTAACATAACCAAAGCCAAGACAGAGGGCCATGTGGATGTTGTTGCTTGTTGCCTCCCCAGAATTGGTCTTTCAGAAGTGGTTTGATAGGGAAGGAGAATTAGTAGCATATACTAAGCAGGAGGATGTCCACGCCATAAAGAGTGGCATGAAAGAAGGCACAAAATTAGGAGAGGGGAAATCAAAAGTGGAGACAAAGGGAGTTTTCAGAAGAGAAGCTTGGGAGAAGTTTAGAGTGTGGGAGTGTGTATAGGAGGGAATGAGGCCAAAGGTACTGGCAAGGCCTAAGCTATAGAATTCTTTGAAAATAAGATTAAAATGGATGTGGAAGAAGAGAAGCATGTGCAGGAAACAGTCTTAGATCTGCTATACTACTATGCTGTGAAAACTAATATGCTTGTAGATCTGAATAGCAATGGATGAATTCAGTCAGAATCAACTTATGTTTAATGTCCCTTGGGGTAAATTCTGTCCTCTGAGGCATGCATGCATCTATCATTTATTTCAATGGGAGCTGTATGCTTATATCTGAGGGTAGAGTCTGAACCCATGGAGCTTAAAAAGCTGAAGATGTATGATGCATACATATGTATCTTATGGAAAGGGAGAAAAAGCAAATATTCTATCATTGCAGATGTGAACAAATACTATGGCAAAAGACCCTCTTCTACCAAAGGCAAAAAAATCTGTCTGTTCTTAATGGTTGATTTGATATCTCTTAAGCATGTTTGCCCTAACTACTGTCTCAAAGAGCATAGGGGCAGACAGTTTGGTGCACAAGGCAAGCTAGTCAAATTGGCTAGTTTTATATTTGTGCTTAAAAAATTCTGAGAAATCCACAAAGTGAAGATAGATTATGCTTCTGTGGGTTTTTTATTGAACCTTTCATCTGTAACATAAGCAAATAGAGTGAAGTTTCCTGTCTCAAAAGAGTGATGAGGGGGTGGAGAAGGAAGCAGTATCAAAGTTCATGTTTTGTAAAGCACTTTTAATTTTTAAAATCAAGGATTACTGAGCAACTTTTGTCAAGTATGATCCCCTAGAAGAAGAATGAAGACTTCAAAGTTCATGTTGACTTCAAGCTGTTACAAACCTGGTATCTTTTCCCAAACAGTGTTTATTTACTGCTGACAGAATTTATAGTGCATAATATTTCATAATGTTTCTGTTGCAATATCTGACAGATGTGAATAGGATTAATTGCAGTTATGTATGACATTATCTTTTGGAGCGAAAGTCCACAGCAGTCTATGGTTCCACAGCTGCAAAAACTGTAAGGGAAATTTGTGGTGTTAAAGAAAAATGGCAATGACTTTGTTTGTTAATGAGTGCTAAAAATCAACATGAACAGTTGAATGGAAGGTATTAAAGTAAGTTCGCTTTCCATTTCCAGTTTCCATTCCCATGCTCCTAGGCATTGTGAGAACCTGCAACACATGTTAATGTTGATACAGAGTGGAAGGGGATCTGATGCTAAAGACAGTGGTACACCATCTTAGTTTGTCATTGTCTGAGCCTAAAAAGCCTGATCCCTGGAAGTCACCTATGGGAAGGCCTTCCACGGCCTTGTGGGAAGAGGAGGGGAGCAAGGACAATGAAGAAAAGCTAGCATGCCTCCAGGATCAGGCCTCTTATCGCCCAGAAATTATAAACACTGGGAACAAATAGCTCTCTATGTTCTTGCTGTAGTTCCTGCTTTTCTCGGGTTTGCTTGTTGCAAACCTGCTTTTTGGGGTATGAGAAATACTAGGTCCCTTTTGCTCTAGTTAAGAACCTAATGTAACATTTTTAAACCCATAACTACAATAAAATAACTCTTTAAAACCCTGCTATTGTGGAAGATTACAATGCATGAATTTAAGACCTTGTGAGTATCATAAAGGCTGCTAATCTTACAGTCCTATAGGTTAACCACTCAAATATAGAGATGAAGCAAATATTGAATACTCATTAGTTTGTCAGGACTTCAGTGTGAGGAGACCATGAAGCTTTGATTTTTAACTACGTAAAATGCTTTATCTTTCAGGTCCCAAGCCTGCTGTTTTTCTGCAGCATGGTTTGCTTGCAGATGGTAGTAACTGGATCACAAATTTGGACAACAACAGCCTGGGCTTTATGCTGGCAGATGCTGGCTTTGATGTTTGGATGGGAAACAGCAGGGGGAACACTTGGTCCAGAAAGCATAAACACTATACAGTGAAGCAAGAAGAATTCTGGGGTTTCAGGTAGCTGGATCTCATTTCTGAGGAGTGCGGTTTATTACATGTTATACATGCTGTCAACAGGAACCACTCCTTTCCCTCTGCCATTTCCTCCATGATGCCATGCCCCCACTATTAGCGCTGTGCCAATCACTGAATTTTTGGTTTGCTGGCAGTTCTTGGAGGCAAGAGGGTAGGGGTTGGTTTGGGTCAAACTGAAACATTTTTTGGTGAAGTGAAAAAGTAGGAAAAATTTCCTTTTGGGTCAAATGAAATGTTTTGTTCCCAGGCATTTTTAAAAAATAAAAGGTAATAAAGGTCTCAATTCACAGCAGAGGCAGTAGGGTTTCCCCCTTAGCCCAGTGGTCAGGGCATTGTCTTGGAACGTGGGAGACTCAGGTTTGAATTACTGCTGTGGAGCTGGGACTGGAACCCTGGTCTCCTCCTTCCCAGGAGAGTGCCCTAACCACTGGGGTATAGTCATTCTCTCTACCGCTGTCTGTCTGGACCAATGGCTATTCATATACTTTTATACAAAGTGAAACCCCTTCAAGATGAGGGATTGAGACACCCACCCCAGAATAGCCCATAAGCGGGTGGTAGGGCACTCTCCTGGGATGCGGGGAAAGGTAATTGTTCCAGTTGCTGCTCCAGAGCAGAGGTTTGAAGCTGAGTCTCCCACATATCAGGACCGTGCCCTAAGCACTGGGATAAAGACTGTGAGGGAGGACTCCCTCCCATCCCTCCCCCTGAAATTCCTTTGGCCAAATCTGCATTTTTTTTGGCAAATAAACTGTTCATCTGAAAAATTTCACCCTGCTCTTACCTCATCTCAAAAAAGATATATTGGAATTGGAAAAGCTTCAGAAAAGGGCAACAAAAATTATTAGGGGTATAGAACGGAGAGATTAATAAGACTGGCACTTTTCAGCTTAGAAAAGAGACAACTAAGGGAGGATATGATAGAGGTCTATAAAAGTCATGGCTGGTGTGGAGAAAGTAAACAAGGAAGTGTTATTTATTCCTTCTCATAACACAAGAACTAGGGGTCACCAAATGAAATTAATAGGCAGCAGATTTAAAACAAACAAAAGGACGTATTTCTTCACCCAGTGAAGCCAACCTGTGGAACTCCTTGGCCTTGACAACATCCACTGGCAAGATTATAACAGGATTCAAAAAAGAACTAGATAAGTTCATGGAGGATAGGTCCATCAATGGCTATTTGTCAGGATGGGCAGGGATGGTGTCCCTAGCCTCTGTTTTCCAGAAGCTGGGAATGGGCGAGAGGGAATGGATCACTTGATGATTACCTGTTCTGTTCATTCCCTCTGGGGCACCTGGCGTTGGCCATTGTCGGAAGACAGGATACTGGGCTAGATGGACCTTTGGTCTGACCCAGTATGGGCGTTCTTATGCTCTATCTACTACCCCACTTCAGTAACAGATTAAACAAGATTGTGCCACTGCAATTTTTTATCCTGGTTATATATGTGCTAATATGCTAACAGTATGGGAAACTATATATTTGCTATAATGGCCTGATCCTGCCTTCATTGAAATCAATGAGAAAATTTCCATTGACTTGAGTGGTTCAGGATCAAGCCCTAAGTGAATCTTGGTCAGAGTTTGGCTGTTCGGAATCAACCTTTGGAAGTTTTTATTCATTCTTAGCTGACTAATTTTCAATGTACTAAAGTTCCATTCAGTAATTCTTCTCTGCATATGTTGATATGGACATTTTATAGCTTTATTTACATAGCCATCTTCTTGTCTTTGTTATAGTTTTGATGAAATGGCTAAATACGACCTTCCTGCCACTATAAACTTTATTGTGAATAAAACTGGACAGGAGAAAATCTATTACATTGGCCATTCACAGGGTACCACTATAGGTATGTTAAGAGATTTAATTTAAATACATTGTTTTAAAAGAGAGAGATTTGCGCACTTTTGGTTAAATAATGATAAAATACAGATGTACTAGTACAGTTTGTTTTGTATCCTCATTAATACTAAAAGGCTAGAGAATTAACTCTCACCTATTTATTTGAAGTGAAAACTTGTAAAACACTAAATTAAGCTAATAGACTACGCTATTCATCCAATTTCTGTAAAAACAAATATTCTAAAGAGTTGTGAAAATGTACATGGAAAAATCATAGATTCATCACTCCAACTAAAATTTAAATTGATGCTCAGGTAAACCTTTAATTAACCAAACCAGTATTTAAAGACCAGTATTTACCCAAACCAGTATTTACTGATGCTAATTCAAATTCTTCTTTGAACACATACACAATTTCCAAATTCAGAACTTAAAACATACTACACTCTATAATTAAAACATGCCTAGCTAAAATTCTGATTTCATTTCTGTCAAATATTGTCTTATTAAGAAGTCTTATTTTTTTTATTTTTAACAGCTTTCATCGCATTTTCAACTATGCCAGAGCTGGCTAAGAAAATAAAAATGTTTTTTGCATTGGCACCTGTAGCCACAGTCAAGTTCTCCACTAGCCCTCTGACAAAACTTGGAGTGCTTCCAGAGCTGCTTCTCAAGGTATGTATTTCAGTCAAGATATTAGTTTTAAACCTAAGTGAGAATATTTCTTTTCCATTTAAAATGGTTTTAGTAGAGATTATGAATAAAACTGTGTGTAGACTTAATGCATATGAATGTGCCTCTCTTGCTATGTACACACTTGTACAGAAGATTAACATGCATGACATGAATTCTAAGCCAAATTTTGACCCTGTATCAATATATGTCCAGAGTTGCTCTGTGATGGTTTTCCATATTGATAACTGCATAATTGAGAGTAGAATTTGGCCCAGTGACCACAAAATGCATTTGATGTTGCCCATTGCACCCCATGCTCCGCATTTAAAAAAAATGGTGAATAATAATGTAAAAGCAAACATTTGTTTTGATGTTGGTGGATCACATACGATCTGAAAACGCTTAATATTTATCTTTGATGTCCCATACACAAGGATGTTGAGAGCCTTCAAAATGGGAAAATTGAACTATCAGGCTGAGAAATTTAAATACGTGACAGGAGAAGCTAGGGGAAAGTTAAAGCTTAAAATGTATCTTATAAATAGGCTTGACCTGAAAGAATCAGTATTATATTTACTCATTTGCACATGGGTCTAGGACTTGTGTTGCCAAAAAGCCATGATTAATATATACATTGGTCAATTTTAGTAGGGTCATGTGATATCCTTTTCTTCCTTTATATGGAGTATTTTTCATTTGTCATCAGTTTCTGCAGATTTATTTAGCAGTCACCTCTGTGTACTTCAGTCCTTATATAGATTTTTCCATTGATAAACTCATATGTTCTACTCCACTAAATTGGAATGTCTCCTAGAGACCCTGTTTAATCTAATGCCTGCTTCTTGGGCAGGAGTATTCGCATAAATGCTGCTCCCATTAAGGAGAGTTGGGCTGGTGAAAAATACTATGGTGCTTTTTCAGACTTGAGATTCGAAATTCTTATTTTTCACACAAGTTGCCAAACGAAGAGTGAGAGGAAACAGGAGGAGGATACAGTGAAGATGTTCACTAGCTGTTGTGTGTTGTGTACAGGGGCTGGACTGCCCACCTCTATTCACCAGCTATCCTTTGGTGGGAGAAGGAGGGGGAACCATGTGAGTTATGGCAGACAAGATTTTAGATATTGGAAGTATCACTTTATCTCTGTTAGGCACAATGTACCTTTTCTAACCACAGGACATATCTTGAATAGATATTTTTGTGTATTGTAACTGCCACTGGTTCCCCTTCTCCCCTCAGGCAGATAGAGATGAGGTCAAATAACACCTGCCAGCTCCCTCTGTCCCACTTCTCATAGTGAAGATGGCTGCTTAGTTAGAATAATAGGCTGATCAGTGTTCCCAGTTAAGAGGCTTTTATTTTATAGAAAAAATGCACCTGTTCACATGGTCCTTTGAAACTTGACCCAGTCATGGTGACTTGCACAGTGAGCTATTGTGGAACCACCCAGTTAACCACAAACCAGTGGATGGGTCATAGTCTTTGTGCTGTGTCAGTGTGAGTAAAAAGCACTCTGTAGATCATGTTCAAACCCTTGGGCTTTTTAAAAATAATATCTTGCAAGAGGAAACTGCCACCAAAATGCAAGCTTGGTTTTATTCACATGGTTTGAATTGAGGAAGCTTCAAATATCAAACATACCAACTTAAGCAGATGTAGCTTAAAATATTTAACCTTTAGCAGAAATCTGACATGCCCTCTCTGATATAATGAATACAAAACTGATAAGAACTTTTTAAAAAGTTTGAATTTTCATGGATTTTCTTTGGTTAACCATGAATAATTTATTCTGTTTTTAACTTGATAGCAAAGGTACTGATTATATATTTCACTTCAAATTAGTGATCTAGGCTTACATGGTGAGAGAGTGTAATACGAAACAATCTTTCTTTTATGAATTGAAGTAGTTATCCCAAGAAACCTATAGTATGAGTAAAAGCAAATAGCCTTCTCTTATGTGTATGTGCTTATTATTTTGCAGGATATGTTTGGAAAGAAGCAATTCCTTCCCCAGAATTCATTGCTGAAGTGGCTTGCCACTCATGTTTGTACCCACAGATTACTTGATGACCTTTGTGGCAATTTCTTCTTTCTTATATGTGGCTTTGATGAGAAAAACTTAAACATGGTATGTTCTGTATACACCTAGCAATTATCTCCTTGTGACTTTTAACAGTATAGACTATGATCTAAGAGTGTTTATATTCCATAAGTAACTTGAAAAAAGTTTAATACCTTCTAGTTCTTGAGAGTTTGAATGAGTATCTTTTCTTGCTATAGACAGGAGTCCAGCTGCGCAGTCTAGCTGATAAAATACATAGAACTAAATTTAAAAATGGATTGAAAGGATGAAACAATTTTTTTGTACTCTGTGGGAAGAACATGGGCAAGATGGATAGATGGAGAAGAGAATTAATGGTATAGAACATGGAAAGAAGGGAGAAGTAAAGATTAGACTTCACAACTTGGGATGCATCCATGTGCGAGAGCTGCTGAGATTTCCAGATCTCATAGTGGACATATGCAAATGCTTTTCTAGGAGTCAATTTGTACATTTTAAAAGTCTGTAGCTGTTCTGTGTTCCGATTGAAGCACAGGACACAGTGCAGGTGTGTTGTGGACAAATTGGTTAAGTGTATTTTTAGTCTGAAAAGCGATTTATGTAAAAAATCATCTACCAAGTCCTAATTGGTTACACCTGTGCAAATACATTGGAGGAAATGTTGTTGCAGAGGTGTCGCTGAAGATGCAGTTTAAAGATAAAGGTATGTATGTTTTGATGAGGGCATAATTTGGCCTGCGGAACCTTTTGTTGCTGGCAATAAAACTTCAGAAGGAAAGAATCCAGCTTGAAATTTCAGTCTCAAGGTTGAGTTTCCAGAGTTGGGTTTTTGTTTAAACAAACAAACACCAAATAGCAGAACATCTCTCTACATTGCTCTGGACATCTGTGACAGACAATAAACGTGGAATCCTACAATGCCACTTTTTTAGAATCCGTTTGTGGAGTAGTACTGTAAGCTGGGGACAGTGGTTGGGACACAATAGTAAGAATACAATGGGCAGGGATGGTGTCCCTAGCCTCTATTTGCCAGAAGCTGGGAATGGGCAACAGGGGATGGATCCCTTGATGATTCCCTGTTCAATTCATTCCCTCAGGGGCACCTGGCATTGGCCACTGTCGGAAGACAGGATACTGGGCTAGATGGAGCTTTAGGCCAACCCGGTATGGCTGCTTCTATGTTCTAACAGACATAAGGAGCTTTGGGTTTGGTCAGCACGTGGAGAGAGAGAGAGTGAGTGCGAATCTGACTGGCTATTCCAGTGGGATCAAGCCACCTGAAGGAGCAATGAAATGGGGATAGTCTGATATGGGGAAGATTGTGCAAAATATTCCCAACAAAACTTTAATTTGCTTTGCTTTGCTTTTCCACGCAACTATTCTAAAATATTGTGGGAAAATCTGCAAATCATTTCTTCTGTCAAAAAAACCCAACAAAACTATTTGGGCAAAGTCACAACTTGAAACTTGGCCCAATTGATGTCTTGTCATTAACTTCAATAAGGCCAGGATTTCACCCTCAATTTAAAAAATGTTTGATTGAAAATCTGAATTTGGCATAATTTATATGAAATGGGAAAAATGGTAATTTTTGTGTGCAGAATTTCCCACTCCCCACACGCAATTTTGCATAGTTCTAAATATGGATTTAGACTTTACTCTGCCTGAGGATTCAGCTTTCAGAAGACAGTATTTTTAAACTGAAAATAAATGAAGCTTATTTGGAGCAACAGCCTATGTTAGTAGAAGTAGGCTAAACAGTTGGTCAAAACTAGTATAGTGTAGGGAGGCATTTAAAACTTAGAAGAACTTGGAACACTTTTGCTAACATTAACACTTTTAAACTTGTAAATTGATGTAAAAATTATTCATGCATATTACTGTTAAGTTTAAAGTCAATATTTATGACAAAATCCTTGTACTAAGGACACCATAGAATATTGAAACTGAAGTGGTTTTTCTAAATTTAGTTTGCATTTCATTCAGCTGGGAAACAAAGCTAGATTGGTTAGTTTCACTTTTGCATCTAGTAACTTTTATTAACTTGAGCAATACCGTTCTTTGTTTTTCTCAGTGTGTTAGGAGAAGGCTTACATCTCTTCCTTCACAACCATGCTGCTTTCTGGGAAAAAAATCAGACCAAAACATTGCTAATCAGATTCAGTTTCTTGGTGTGTGTGTGTGTGTAATTTTACAGTAAAATAAAACATCAGCTTTAGATCAAATTTAGTTTAAACTAAGTTGACAGTGTTATTCAATTAATGGCAAGACTTAAGCATCCTATCCAGTTTGTGTATACTAGTCTAGTCTTAACTTTCTGATCAGAACTTATTTCTTTTAAACTTACTCTATTCAGTTGGGCAGAAAGCAATAAAGGATGGACCCGATGCCCATTAATAGATGAAAATTGTGATTAACTATGTTGCCGTTGCAGAGCCGAGTCGACGTGTATTCAACACATTGCCCTGCTGGGACATCTGTACAAAACATGATCCATTGGAGCCAGGTAGCGCTTCTGACATCTAAAGTGCCTGTTAACCTGACTTGTTTATCAAATACTGCTGTCAGCGAAATAGGGGTAACCATGTCAAAACGATCCTATGGTAGCACAGCTTTGCTAAGACTCTGGGACTACTAAGGAGAAAGTCAGAACAGCAGGTGTTAATCACTGCAATTTTAATTTTAAAAAAATTCCCTTTCGATGCGGCATATATTTTTGCATGAGTGCAAAAAAAAGGTGCTGCAGATCAGCAGACAGTATTTCTGCCTGCGTTTTAAACTACCATATCCGAGATCTTGTTGCTACAACAAGCATTTGATTCTCTTTCAGTAACCTTGGCTTCTGACCGTGAGCTACATACTGTAGCAGGGCAAGTGGACAAATTGTGGATAGTTACAGTTTGTTTACACTTAGCAGTCCACATACTTGCAATTAATTTTAGTGGCTGTATCTCGGCGGTATAAAGCAGGTGCAGTACCCCTATGCGGCGGGAAGAAATTTCTTGTGGAATCAGCAACTGCTGGTCCCTGCATAGGTTCCTCAAAGTGAGATACAATCTTAGGGTATGTCTACACTACCTGCCGGATCGGCGGGCAGCGATCAACCTCCCGAGCGCTCTCCCATCGACTCCTGTACTCCACCGCCGCTAGAGGTGCAGGCAGAGTCAATGGGGGAGCGGCAGCAGTCAACTCACCACAGTGAAGACACCATGGTGAGTAGGTCTAAGTATGTCGACTTCAGCTACATTATTCACGTAGCTGAAGTTGCGTAACTTAGATCGATTTTCCCCCTCTTCCCCTCCCTCCCCCCCCCCCAGTGTAGACCAGGCCTTAGAGTCAACCTGGTTTTCTAAACAAAGTGTGTGTTGGTCTGATAAGTGTAATTTGAGCTTCCATGGGTTAGGTGTCAGGCCTGGAATGAAGTGGGAAGAGCCTCATAAAGAAAGATGCTTTTAAAAATTCATGTTTCTTAGACTGCTGTTTCTGAAAACATTTGGACTGTAAATGGTACTAAGTAAGTTTTAAAGGAAAACTCCATTGATGTGGTTGTCAGAGTTCAGGGCAACTGCACCTATATTTGTCCTCTGTGGTTCCAGCAAGGGCACCCCTTCTAGGCTCCTGGCCCCTCAGCTGTCCACCTCTGGCAGAGACCCACATCTTTCACTGCTGACTGGGGTACTTCAGCACTGCTTAGTTCCCTGCTACACTGTGAATTCCCCAGCAAGCCGGACTGCCTTAACAGGCCTGCATGTGTGCTGCTTTCTCTCCGAAGGCTTTGAACAGATTAATTGCCCCAGTTGTAAGTTACCATGCAGCCCTGTGTAAGTAAGCATATTTATTCTTAAGGTGAAAGCACTACAGATAAAACAGACTTCAAACAATTAAAAGAACCTACACGCATGCTAATAAGCTTACCAGAGATCTCCCTCCCCCCACAACTCCAACAAGGGCTCTGACAGGTGTCAATCCTTCCAACATTTTGGATTGGAGGTTCTGTTTATATGCTAGATCAGAAAGAAGACCCTCTGTAAGTTTAAAGTCAGGCTGTTATTCCAAAATTCCTTTCTTTGTCTACTGGTCTCTGGAGAATCCAGTTTGAACCTGTATATGCTAGCCTTTCCAGGTGGTAGTACCTCACTGGAGGTGTTATAACCTGAGTGAATTTGCCTAATCACCCCATTAGTTCCTAGAAGGCTGTGATCACCCTGGCCCATGAAATTACATAAATCTCTGGCCCACACACTTCCTTTGTCTACACTCAACTTTTTTTTTTCCTCAACCTTTCTTACTGTTGCTACTAGTAAATGGGAAGCCAGACTTAACAGGTGTTTTTGTGTAATATTAGGCAAAAAATGTGTGCGTGCCTGAGTGGTTGGCCTGAATATATATAATTCTTTTTTTTTTTGCTATGATCCATGCTTGTTCCCAGAACTGGCTAAGTTTTCTTGTTACCAAAATGGCTAAGATGGCTTTGTGAGACATGAATTCATAGGTACTTTGCTGCAATGCAAATGCACCAAAACAGCAGCTTTGGAGGAAAAAATCTTTACTGTTTGAATAGTGACCTGCAGCACTGAGCCAGATTTTCAGAAATATACAGTTCAATGTGCATGTGCAACTCCCAATTTGGATTAAATCCAGCACACTTGGAAGTTTACCTTTTAAAAATCTGGCCAATAATACTGTGTATTATTCCATTTTAGTACATGGCGTCTGCTCCTGCTTCTGGCCATAATCTGTAGGTGAAAATGTAAGATCTAAGAAACCTTGTGGAGAAGAAGTGGGCGTGGGAATGGTAGTATGAATATTTTAGAAGAGCAAAGGCTATAATCAGTTTGGCTTTCCTTTGCTCCAATTATCTTTGTCTCATTGCCTAGGTAAAACATTACCTCCTCTCCCTGGGGTGTGTTCTTTGTTTTTAATTTAATCACATAGGATTAAGGCACTTCTCCAGATAACCTTCATGTTCTTTCTATACAATTCCTGAGTGCAGACACTGACCTTCATGTTTTTATGTGTGAATATTTGTTTTAGGCCGTTAAATCTGGGGAACTCAAAGCTTATGACTGGGGAAGCAAGGCTGAAAATTTGGTTCACTATAACCAGGTAAAGAACTTTTAATGGAAGTCTTACAATCCTTGAGAAACAAAACAGAAAACTTCAAAAACTGCCAGGAGACCATGTGGGACTGTGATCTAGTCAGGCCTTGCAAATTAAGCAGGGAACTGCAGCTGGGATGCAAACATATAGGCACTCAGAAATGATTAGACATAAGGTGGCACTGTTGTCTCCAAGTCAGTACAGAGTCAGTGTTTCCAATATGACAGGGGGCGATACTTTGTTGCAAGAGGTGCAGTAAATCAGTCAAGACCTTGGTTAAGACCTGAGTTGGGTGCAGGTTTTTCAGTGAATAGTGAATTAACAAAATATATATATATATATTTATGCATGTAAGGGGCACTGAAAGTATTCACAAATTTGGAAATATTTTCAGCCAAAAGGAGAGAATATATTTGGAAAATGTCAAAGCTGTTCATTTTGACCATTCTGAAAAGTTTTGCCTTTTTTGGTTTTTAAATATCTACATATTTAAAAAAATAGGACGAAACAAAAAAATACAAAAATTTCATTTTAGTGTTTTAGGGTGTGTTTTAGTCTGAAACAATTTTGTTTTTAAATGTCTTTCACTTTAGCAAAAACGTAAAAAAAAATCTTTAGTTATAAATAAACCAATTTCCCCCCCAGATTTTTTGGTGTGGCCCTTCAGTTGAAAAATCTTATTTGCTCAGCTTTAGATCATTAGTGAAAAGTGCTGTGAGATCATTAGAGTTCTATAGGGTTAATTATGCTGCCCTGGCCAAACTTCAGCCTACTTAAAGCCCCCCTGCAGCTTCATTTGGATACCAAATTATTCTCTAGATCTCTGTGCATAATGTTAACAGTTTACCCTTCTTTTGCTTTACTGTGGCTGTAATCTCTTGCAGTAATCCTAGTTTGAGCAGTGCAATACAGGCTAGAAACATGCATGCTCATTGGTAGGTGTAATTTTACTTTGTGTTATAGTGACCTGTAAAAGCAGTTTTGGGATTTAAATTTTACATGGTAGACTCTTTGCACACACAACTCATCCAACATTACCTTGCAAGGTCCAAAAACCTACCAAGCAGGCTTTAACATGGAGTTAGTCAGGGCTTCTCTTGAATTGATTGCTGCTCCCTAGCGACTGCCGCTCCAGAGCAAAGAAAGGGAAGGGCTAGGATTCTGACTTCTATCCTCTTGCATTTGCTAGTACATTGCAGTACTGCTAGACAAACCCCTTAGCAGATTGGCTCTTTCTAAAGCCAGAGTTGTCTTTTTTTTTTTTTAATATATATACACACTTTCTTTTTTAAAAGATTGCAATCTTTCTCCCCCCCTCCCCCCATAGTCTACCCCTCCATTCTACAAAGTAAAAGATATGACCGTGCCAACTGCACTGTGGACTGGTGGACATGACTGGCTTGCAGACTGGAACGATATTGGCATATTGCTCACTCAAGTCACTAATCTGGTTTACCACAAACACATTCCTGAATGGGAACATCTGGATTTCATCTGGGGTCTCGACGCACCCCATCGCATGTATAAAGAAATCATTAACGAGATGAGCACATATCTGTAAAGCTGCCTGGGGTGTGTGGGGTTAAAATCTTGCTAAATGCCTCGCTTGGAATGTGGTGGTGTCTTGGAAATAGCACCACATCTTTATTTATAATGCCTTTAAAAATGCCAATAATGACTACTGGTTTGGATTAATATCTATTTTTGATATAAACAGTGTTATATCTTTCACCGTTACATTCCCTTTGCTATCCTGCTGGCTTCATGCAATGTGGTTAATACTGTCAGAAAACAGTAATGTGCCTTTGCCTAGAGGAAATATTTTAAATCCATGTAGATTTATTGATATGTTTAAAAGACAAATTAACCCACTTTGCATGTCAGCAGCCTGAAAGTTCAAAAGATAAGCACTTACCCCTGAATAAAATATTAAAATCAATTTGAAAATCAAATACAGTTGAACCTCAGAGTTACAAACACTTGGGATTGGAGGTTGTTCATAACTTTGAAATGTTTATAACACTGAACAAAACATTATGATTCTTTCAAAAGTTTATAACTGAACATTGACTTAATACAGCTTTGAAGCTTTACTATGCAGAAGAAAAATGCTGCTTTCCCTTTATTTTTTTAGTAGTTTAACACAGTACTGTACTGTATTTTCTTTTCTTTTTTTTTGTCTCTGCTGCTGCCTGATTGTGTACTTCCGGTTCCAAATGAGGGGTGTGGTTGACTGGTCTGTTCATAACTCTGAGGTTCTACTGTAGATCTTTCCAAACCTTTTAGTGGTGCTCTTGCTAACACAGTGACAGTTTAAAACTGGCAGCACAGGAACCACAGACACCTAGCTATTTTCTCTTGTGCTTTAATCATAAAGTTAGCCATATTTTTCAGAACTAAACACGTCAGTTTACTTTCTTCCATGTTACTCCAAGAAGAATCATGCTGACACTGCATGCTTTCAGCGCCAGTTGGAGTCACATATTCTGGGTCTGATTCATTATTGCATTATTCTGGACTTCAGTGGAGTTACACTGATGTAAACCTATACTAAGGCCCTTTATGTCTAAAGTACAAAGTACTGATGAGAATTATTACTTATTGTTTGACCTTGCAAATGGCTGGGAGAAGCAAACACGTTAAAAGAAAACAATGCTTTCTGTAACAGTTACTTGTTATGAATTGCAGTGAAAAGAGCGGAAGATGTATGTAATTTATTTTTGCACTGATAACCACTGGAAAACAAGGCTCAAATATGTAGTTCTGGCAGAGGAGGGGCCAAAGGTAACAATTCTGTAATTCAAGTATACTGTGCCTACATTTTCACTAGAACTCAAACCATAATCAGCGACTTCACTGAAGAGCTAGGAGATCATAGGATTTCTGTGGCAGAGCAGGAATTAAACCCAAGGTCTCCAAAGTCCCATTCTGTAATCCTAACCACAAAGCCATCCTTTCTCCTTTGGCTTCCTCCGCTATCTGATATAGAAAATATTAGATGTTAAACTCTTAGTGGAGAATTCTTTGTAAATAAACTAGAAAAAAAAAGCCATAGTTTTGGGGTTTTTTACTCCTTATTGAGGCTCAGGAAGTCCCTTGCATTTATAAGTTCGGGTACTTTTTTTGATTAATATCCTAGTTGTGGCTCATAACAGAGCCCTATGCTCTATACTCCTGGTATTGGCAGTTGTTTTAAATTTCTTTAAAAAGGAAGTCTCTGAAAGTGTGTGAAGTGGTTTAGACAACAGTAGTCAACAGTGCATGATGATCATTAATGCTTTAAATATTTTTCAATAAATCAGGATGATCTGTCAGAGCTTGGAATGGTGTGTTCTGTTATGTTACATGTAGTTATACATATGCATATATAATGTTTGTCAAAGATACTTCATTGACATAGGTGTCCAGGACAGATACAACGTGGGGATAAGGAAGCAGACTAAACACCCAGGGCACACTTCACCCCAGTCCTGAGAGGGTCACTATTAGCTCTAGAGAGATCATTCATTTAGTCTCTAGCTTCTCTTTGTGAGACTTTCAAGAAGGGTGCCAATTTTGATAATGTGTTCACAGGAATTGGACTGAGAACAACACGTTGCTTATAAGCCTTCATACAGTGGGTTATGACTTCTCCTCACACCAGTGACCTGGGGAAAAGGCTTCCTGCTTCACACTCCTAGTCCCGTACACAATCCCATTACCCAGTATTTTGTCTGTTAATCTGATATACAGTGAGTAGCACTGTTGCTATGCAGGGGCCTAATCTCAAGACTCTCTCTGCAATAGAGAACATGAACTTCATTTACTGTCTCTATAAACTGAACACGATCTGTAAATTTCATTTGTACATCAGTGTTTCCTCCTTTGGAACATGTTTGATCTTTAAACGTAGTAAATTCATGTTGTGATTTCCAGTACAGTAGAGGATGTGCATTTGGGTAGCTGGGTCCAAAAATTATCAACTTTCCCCAGGCTGCTGCCCTAAGGGAGTCCCAGCATGAATGGAGGCAGCACCAAAACATCATCCCATGTTCCACAGGAGCCTCTGCAAACTTTCTGTTCTTTGCAGGGACTGGGATAGGGATTATAAACTCCCCAGCTGCCTCTATTCCTGTGGAGATATATCCGCGGGCAGCAGGATGTGCACATATAGGAATCACCTTTATACAAATATTACTGCATCCACATTAGGAAGGGTTGTACCACTTCAACTATACTAGTACACTGAGTATAGTACACTATACTAGTATACTGAGTACATGGAATGGGAAAAAGCATGCGATATGCAATGGGTGGGGGTAAGAAAATCATTCTAGTGGAGTGTACTGTATTTAATAAAATATATATAAAAAAATCTTCTGTACCACCCCCTCTTTCTTTGCACTGGACACAGGTGCTGATAGATGTCCTGAAGTAGCACATGCCTGTACCTATTTCTCTTCAGATTGGGCATAGACCCCCTTTGTTTACATAGAGCGGGAAGCCCCTGATACAAAAACCCAATAGCTCTGTAAGGGGGCGTGACTCACCCCTGCAGCATTTCCTGCTGGTACCTTCTGGGAATTAGCTCGCCAGCCCCAGAGCGCCCTCTGCAGGCTGATGTCCTGCCACTCACAGTCATCCCCCCCCATGTCCCTCCCAGACCCGGTGCCCTTTTCTTTGGGTGCTCCAGGTACCTTCTCTAGCTCCCCAGCAGCCAGACCCATCTCTCTCTACAGCCAGAGAGAGACTGTCTACTCCTGGCTTTTATAGAGCCAGCTGGGTCTGTTTGGGGCATGGCCACAGCTGAGGCTGCCTCCCAATCAGCCCAGCCTAAGGCTTCCAGCCCCAGCCCTCTCCAAGGGCTGGCTTTTAACCCTTTCAGGCCAGGAGCGGGTGACTACCCCACTACACCACCCCAAAATCACCACCCCTGGGAGTAGAGAGGATCTCCTGGCTGGACCAGTCGCCCACGCGCCTCCAGAGCCACTCGTTTCCTTTCGGACTCCTCCAGCTGCTTCCTCAAGCGGGCCTCCTTGTCCATGACGGCGGCATACTCCTTAGCAAGGTCCAGGGCCCTCGCTTTGGCCTCGCAGTGGGCCTGCTCTGCAGCCTCCAGCAACGCACGCAGGCCAGACTCTCCCGGGCCCTCTTCCTTCAGGGTCTGAGTGCCTACTGCAACCTGCTCCACTACAGCCAGGGTCCTGGCCTCTTGTGGGGACCATTCTGTCCCAGTCTCCTTGTCTGCCATCCCCCGTTGGTGGCTCCTGGGCAGGGCTACTGCCCTCTCTGCAGCAGCTACCTGGCCAGTCCTTGACCCCTTTGGATCCTCAGGCCACTCCACTGGAGTTTGCCCTCCTCCGAGGGGGCAGTTCCTCTTTATGTGGCCCCATTCATGGCAGCCAAAGCAGGCTCACTGCCCCTTTGCTGCCTTGGGCCCCGTCTTCCTCTGTTGGTCCTTCTCAGGGCCAGCCCTTCCTGGGCTACCCTGGGCCGTGCTCCTCAGGGTAGGGCACTCCATAGGTGCCCCCACTGCCCCCAGGCCCAACAACCTTCTTCACCTGCTGACTTCCCTTGCCAGGTGGCCTCTCATAGGGGCTTGTCCCTTTCCCCGTCCTGGGTGAGGCTCCCTGCCCCTATCCCAGCAGGGACAATTCGCCTGTACATGTCCGCACTGCCCACAGGTATAACACGCCCGGTGCTCTTCCCCAGGCCTCCTGGCCCCAGCACTGGGCTTCTCCCACCAGTCTCGGCCGTCTTTTGCGAACTCCCTCACAGTGCCGTTGCTGAGTCTCTCCAGCCGTTGGACTGCCCCTTTCCTCAGGGGACCCGGCCCTGGAGCCCAGCTTGGAATGGCACAGGGACCCTCCACGAAGAACACCTCTGCATAACCCGGCTCCATTATCCCCTTGCTTCTCTCAGGCAATAGTCCCAGTCCTGCTCTGCCCCTTATGTCAGGGGCGGACCACCTACGCTCGCATTCTCTCGCACCAGTGTAATGGGGCATGACTCACCCCTGTGGTGCCTCCTGCTGGTACCTTCTGGGAATTAGCTCACCAGTCCCAGAGCGCCCTCTGCAGGCTGATGTCTTGCCACTCGCTGCTCCTGGCCCCCCATGTTCCTCCCAGACCTGGTGCCCCTTTCTTTGGGTGCTGCCCCCCCCCCCCAGGCAGTACACCCAGTCTCTGGGTCTCTCCACCCACTATCCCCACTTCACCTCAGTGCAGGGCTACTGCCAGCCACCATCTAGCCCCCATTCACTGGGGCAGACTGCAGTTTAAAAGCCACTCATCACAGGCAAGGAGGGGTTTGGACCTACTGCCTCTGCCTAGCCTTGGGCTGCCCCCTGCAACCCCAGTACCTATTTGGCCTTATACTAGGCCACAGCCTGGGGGGTTTCCAGGCTGGAGCTCCCCAACTCCCTTGGCCTTCCCCCAGCCCTGCTCCACTCCAGGTACTTTCTCTAGCTCCCCAGCAGCCAGGCCCATCTCTCTCTACAACCAGAGAGACAGTGTGTGGCTGCTCCTGGCTTTTATAGGGCCAGCTGGGTTTGTTTGGGGCATGGCCACAGCTGAGGCTGCCTCCCAATCAGCCCAGCCTAAGGCCTCTCCAAGGACGGGCTTTTAACCCTTTCAGGCCAGGGGCGAGTGACCACCCTGCTACAGGCTCATACAGGAGTTCTGAGACGATTTATATAAAAGAATACTAGGCAAGGGAATGGGTACAGATCAATGGGCCAAAAGGGGATGGGGGACTTAAAGGAATTTAACAGCAATAGTGAAACAATAGCACAGTCCCTTCAGCCATCTCCAGAGGTGCCCAAAGCCTCCCCACCTGAGGCCTCTAATCCCACCGGTGGTGCAAACAGAATTGAGATATGCTAGCCTGGTGAGGTGGCTCCTCAGTTTGGACCTGTGGCCTGGTGGGGTGCTCTGTTCCTCAGCTACTCAACCTTCACCTTCCCTCAGGAAACCTATGGCCAAAATGTTTATCACCAGCCCCAATCTAGCAGTGCCCATCACAGTCCTTTTTCCTGGGTTTACACACACCATCATCCAGGGCAACA